AAGGCAAGAAAGCAGGGTCAGAAAGGACGAATATTGATGTTGAAGGTGATGGCCCCTCGAAGCAACGCATTTTTAACCTCTCGACTTATAAACTTCATGCTCTCGGAGGACTATGTCAGGTCAATCTGGGCTATATGGGACCACGGACCAATTACTCTACACAAGTTGCAAGTATTGGAATTCTATCACCTACCATTCACCTACTAATGTTGGAATTAGGGTGAACTTGAGCATTGACGAGTGAAGCGATTTTATGCACGGACCAACAAGAACAAGTTCACACGAGGAATTGCAAGACTTCAGTGTCGCGAGGTGCATTTTGCAGAGGATGAAAGAGGTGAACCGTGAAAGGGCAGCTGCACAAGAGAATCATGCACAGCCTGAGACTGAAGATCTCTGTCCATCTCTTCATTTCGTTGACCAGGACCCACTGCCGCATTGCTCACCAGAGATCCACTACCAGATGTCCTCATCACAGAAACATTACTGGGATATTTCTTCCTGGCTTGGAAAGAACAGAAATGACCAGGCCACAAAGGTAGGTCTCTGAAAACTCTGTAAAATGACAAATGTATTTGCTCACTGGATGTAATTAGAATTTTCTTCCACGTCTCAAAGGATCACCTGCTGGGTCGCTTGTCAGGACTGGACTACGACGGGGATGTAGACTTCATTTAGTGCAGCACAACGAAACTCTGTTGCAATTATCAACAATCAAATTTATCGTCACAAAGTGCTTCGTGTCAACTACACTACCTATGACTTGCGGCACGCTCAGGACTCCCTCAATCCCCGCACGCATGCAGACATCATGGTTCTTGCCCGTGATCAGGAAGACTCCCATCCATACTGGTACGCCCGGGTTATTGGCATCTTTCATGCCAATATCCGCTACATGAGACAAGGTGCACATCCCACTATAAAGTGTGTCGACTTTTTGTGGGTCCGCTGGTTCGCTCGTGACATCACTGCACCAACAGGTTGGGCAGCAAAACGGCTGCCACGAGTTGGGTTTTATGACGGAAAACGATGAATCAGCCTTGGGTTCCTCGATCCTGACCTCGTCGTTCGTGGTGTTCACCTTATCCCAGCCTTTCGACATCTACGTACGACTGCACTGTTGGGACCATCCATCGCCCGTCAAGCAGCTGACAATGACGAGGATTGGGACTGGTACTGCGTCAACATGTCAGTTATTTCCCACTAACGACATGAATCAAATCTGATAAATTACCAGGTTCGTCAACTGAGACATGTTCATGCGCTTCCGTGGAGGAAGCGTGGGGCACAAATCCACGCAAAGAGAGACGTCATGCCTGCTTGATGATCGTGATGAGTTGGATAGGATCCCCTTCCAAAGAGAGAAAGAGCGCCATGGATCAGAATTCGATGAGGGCTCTGAAGAAGATGAGGATATGGAGGAGGATGGAGACAATGGGAGTGGTGATGATAGCGAGGAGGAAACAGATGATAGCGAGGAGACAGACAGCATGGACGACGAGGATGGAGATGAAGTTCCAGCTCCCTTTGAAGCGATGGTAGACGACACTGTTGCCGACGAGATGGATGAATATGGATACTCCGGCCTTGATCAAGTCCTTGACGAGGATGGTGCAGATGAAGAAAACTAATGAGATTGATGACTTCGGTCCAGAAGATGGGGAGGATGTGATGAACGAGTTCGAGGAGGATAGCTTTGCAGACTTGTAATTGACGACGGTGCATGACAGATAGTTCAGAAATTAGCTCTGTTATTTTAAAGTAATTTACATGTGGCCTGAATCACAGGATGGGTTGGCTCGTAGACAAAATGAGTACAATCAGGTAAAGGTGGGAATCAAAACGCTCGTTGAAATGCGCGAGGATTAATGATCGTCGACAGTCAGCCTTGTTGCGGCAATACTGGGACACCACTGAGAGATCTTCCAGTTGTCGCTTTTTCTCCTCTGGAGTCCAAGCCGGCCCTTTATCATTGTGGTTGCTCAATGTTGAGTGGATTACGAAGCGCACCATTCGATGCGGTCAGACAAAGGCCGGAGTGAACAAACACAACTTTACCATCCAGTTTGTCGATTCCCATCCCAAATGTGATCTAAGAAAAGAACTCAATGACGCTGTCCCTGAGTGGTAGGTGATGAGCTGCACAAAAGGAAAAATAAATGTTTCTGCTTACTCCACATCTACGATAGAGTTATCTTCTCATCGGACAACCATCTTTGCGACTGCTGCAGGCGCGAGTGGCCTGCAATCCTGATAATAAATGTTATAAGGTTATGAGACAAAGGCGCGACGGCTCGCGCACTTTATCACCAAAACCGCACATATGGGCACGCATAGGGTGTTGTACTACTTCAAGGGAATAATGCCTGATGATCGTCAAAGGTTAAGAAGAGTGGCGGACAACTCGGGACATAATTGACTGACTTTCGGCCCCACCATTGTTAAGTTCTCACGTTGCGAGTGCGCTAAAGGTGAAGATGCGAGGGCGGGTGAAGATGCGAGGGCAGGTAAGGGCGAGAATGCGAGGTTGGGTGAAGATGTGAGGTTGGGTGAGGGCAAGAATGCGAGGTTGGGTGAAGATGTGAGGGCAGGTGAAGATGGGACGCTCTGTGATGGGGTCAGTACACATAGTAAGTAGTAGGAATAAAAGTTAGAAGCTGTCAGGCTTAAGTGCTCAGAGTCACCTCCTAGAGGCGTGTCCTCGCAGCCTGACAGCCTCTGGTCCAAGTCACTTCCTAGAAGCGTGTTGGACCAGGAAGTGAAGTGCAAATAAAAATAAAATAAAGTAAAAAAACTTACCAGAGTTTGTGTGCATACACGGCGTATATAGTCGTAGTTCATCAACAACTGGATGTGGAGAGGTGCCACCAAGAGTTCAGTTAGGAGGATGAGGAGGATGTGTGATGACGGCGATGAGGACATGAGTGCATAAGTCAATGGTACGAAACAAGTTCGGACTTCCCGTTTCAAAGGTCACGTGACTTTAAAAGTCAGTCGGCATTTTCCAGAAATAAACAAAGTGTCAATAACGCGTCCCTAACCCTTAAGTCTAATCACCATCATGTCTTCCCATTGTCGTCCTGGCGCGTCGTCAAGCTCCTCTGATCCCCCTGACTCAGATGCAATGTATATACAAAGCACTAGCATTTCTTCTGTCGGATCCTCTCCAGAGCCCGTGAAACTTGGAAAACGCAAGAATAAACGGTCAGAGTCACCAGAACCATCAAGGCCCAGCAAATGCAAGCATATGCATTCCTCCAGGGACACCAGAACTGACGACCTCATCAATTCTATATCGTCAGGCTCTCACAAGCACACAACAAGGTATTGTAATTTGAATTGTGCCATAAATTTTTGACCTTTGGTGGCAGGAAACATGAAGATTCGAAAACAGATGACACAGAGCTGTACCGAAACGCAGGAAGGAAGACTTCAAGTCTTCTGGATACGTTTGGCATACCTTCTGCAGCCTTCAAGACCGGTCTTCAATTTGACCGAGGTGGTAAGCGCGACCCGAACAGTATGTACCTTATATCTATCTCACAATACAGCTAACTCGCTACAGACCTGAAGATGTCACCAATCGGCATTTGTTACTGTACAATGGCGTCATCGACTATGTTCCTGGTCTCGAGAGTGAGCTCAACCACATATCAAGCAAAAAACTCAACATGATCATTGCAATGGTGACTGTATGCACATATATGCGCTTGTTTCCACTCAAATCTGAGCTTGACAACTGATCTTTTGCATGGCAGGTATCGAAGGGTATGAGCGACGGCAGATCTGCAGATCTGAGCTCCGTCAAGCACAAGGGCCTGCAATACATTGGGCTAAATATGTATAGTAAGGCCGATGCTCTTGACCCGCCAATTCCAGAAATCGAGGATAAGTCGATGCGTGGGCTCAATCACCCGCAGTTGGCTCGTTTACTTTGCCCTCGGAAGAAATTGGATTGGTTTGACAAGGACCCTGATTCATATGTACATTTTACTTTTCATTATTTGTACTGATGTCACTATGTTCAGCGCTATGGCTGCCTTGCAAGCTGGCGAAATCACCATGACGGCACACAACTGGCCAACATTCTTTACGAACATGGCGTTTACAATGCTGCCTAGTGCTGCCGCGGTCCGGTCCAGAACCATGGTTTGAACCGGACTTTTGGTCCGGTTCTCCGCGGTTCGGTCCATGGTTCTTGCGCCAGCTAGAACCGGACCGGAAAACGGTTCTCGGTTCTAGGTCTTCCCAAATGGTCCAGTTCTGGTTCGGCCTTCCCGAACCATTCCGAACCCTTATCGACTTCGACTTCGACAACATCTGCCTCGACATCAGACTGTCGTCTTCGGGATTCACGTTGTTGATTAATCAAGCTACATTTAGCCTTTTCGAAGGTAAGCACTAACTAATTAAACTCTCAAGTCTCTCACCAACTCACCTCTATAACAGGAGGTTCTGTTCATTGAGGACCGGCTACAACACTGTGCAAGACTACCTTTTACTGGAGGTGGATATATTAGGTGCGATCAAGGTGGATTTTGGAGGGATTGTGTCTTGCACTATGCTGCAGAGGTGCGTATTATGATTTGTACTCTGAATGCTGATGGCTCCCTCGAGGGCCAGCACTCATCGCTACCAGCGCACAACCCATCACACACCATGCTACCTGCGCCTATGTTGATGCCTGCCACCTCACCGCATCCCCTCTCACTCGCTTGCTGTTCTTGCCAGCTGACTTTTGCTGGCTGGCTCGCCGTGTCTCACTCACCCACTGTCTCTCGCTCACTGTCTCACATGCCCGCTGGCTGCTCTCGCCCACTGTCTCTCACCCTCTGTCTCTCACCCGCTGTCTCTCACCCGCTGTCTCTCACCCCGCTTTCAAACCAATATTCCGCGACAACTCGACAAGAGAACAGAGGGGATCCATAGGAACGGCAAAGACACGCACACTAATCTACTGCCCACCCCCCTTCTCCTCCAGAAGACATGCCATCGAGCTGTGATACGCCTCGCCACTCTACCCCAACGCCACCCTCTCCACCCACATCTCAAACACGTCATCAAGCACCAAAACATATCCTGGCACCATTCATCACTCGACAACCTTCCAAATATACCCCAACGAGACCGCAAGCACACCGCATACAAAGCCGAGGTTGTACATCAGGACTTGAATGAGCTTTTGCTAATATGCTCGAGTAAAAGTCGTGTCATTCACACAGCAGGGAAACTAACATTTTACCACCTTTTTCCGCCAGTGAAATCACATCCTAATGGCAGTTAACCGGCAGCTTACTTCAAATTGCTTGTCTGGATCAGACGCCGCAGGTTCACATTCCCCACGGTAAGCATTGGTTGTTATTGTGTTTTATTTCATTCTCACCATTTGTATAGATCAAATCAGTTAGCTCTTGGATCAGCAGCTACAGAGGCAGAGAGGGGTATGTAGCCATGTTATTGGAGTAGCTACTCAATGTGTAAACTAGTATTTCAATGTTTTTTTTTTCATGCTCGCCGCTGAAAATTTTTGGGTTCGGTTCGAGTTCGGACCAGAAAAAAACTGAACCGGACCACAGAGAACCGTTCTCTGTGGTCCGGTTTGGGGTTCGAAGATTTTGCAGAACCGGACCATGGTCTGGTTCTCGGTTCTCGTCCAGGACCCTCTGAACCGGACCGAACCGGACCACGGCAGCACTAATGCTGCCAAGAAGACACACGGCCTGTTTCGAAACCACATTGTTCTGAGGGTGCTGTCACGTCGACTGTTGGTCGGCGTGTGCGAACTAGGATAGGTCTTCTCAGCGACGGCTCGAGTGAGCCTACTGAAGCTGAGGGTGGTTCTCATCTTGACGGAACGTCAAGGGTTCCTCCGGCGATCTTGGTAAGACGGCGCTTGTCGAGATGCAGGGCTAGCGGATACGTGCTAAGTCGTATGGGAGCGGCTTAGAAGTGCGGTCTCACACAAGGAAGCTGGTAAGGCTTAGATGAGCAAGTTCTGGGGATGAACCTAGTAGATTAAAGTAAAGTCTAAGTACAATAATCTGTGTCTACTTATAGGGAAGTACTACAAGTATTCTAGCTCAGTCTGTAATCAATAGTATATCTAGGATCTATGATAACAAGACGTGAGGTTCAGATAAGATACATGAGGCTTAACCTCTGATCAAGCATGCTGCGCCAAGGGCAGCTGCGCATAGGTACCATCACGAAAACTTCAAAAACCTGGTATTGCCTGATTAGGCTGATGCTGACAAATTGTTTTGGATCATGACTGACGTCGTTTGCGAAGGTGATATAATCGATGACGTGGAGTATCCTGTACATTGTATGTATCCGCTACTCAAACAATAATGTAACCATACTCTGCTATACTGCTATCAGTCTGGATGCCACCTGACATTCCCTGCCATTGTTACATGTTCTTTGCCCTCTGTCCTGTTTGAATGCAAGCTGTCCGAGTCCGAATCAACAGGTGTCTTTGCAGGTGTTTCTGGTATCATGTCCACGGCACAATTCTCGATTGTCGTATGTATAGATACTTTTACCAGTTGTATATCATTATGATATTCAAAACTAAATATGATATTGTCTGATATTCACTAAAATACAAAAGGACTGGACCGAAAATCATAATGCACCATACCCCTCCTGTTCGAGCAAGTCGTCATCAAGCTCCTCATCTTCATCAGCTACAATCATATCTTCCAGCTCATCATTGGTATGGTCTTCATCCTCACTGCCCTCACTGTTCTTGTCTTCCTCATCAAACTCTTCCTCACTCCCCAAAGGTTGATCCGACTCTCCGAAATTAACTTCTTCATTCTCATCGGCATTCTCCACAGCGCCATCACTCCGCAGATGTTCATACAGCTCTTTCGTCATCTTGTGGCCCACCCCACCTCCTCGGAAATGCATGAACATGTCACGGTCTACGAAACTAAAGAGAAAGTTAGCATTTATTAGTAGTAGCATAGACAATACATACTGATTCACGTAAAAATACATGAAGTCCATGTCCTTGTCTTCGGGTGGACGGACAAATGAAGGTCCGAGTCGAGTGTCAGTCCGTCCATATGCAAATCCGGGAATTAAATGAACTCCCCGGATCACTTGATCGGGATCAACGAAACCAAAGCTGTCAGGATCGTCTCGACTAAAAAATCCAATGTGATGGAGTTGTTTGGCAGACCATCCGGCTTTGAAGGGAACATCTCGCCCGAACCAACGCACAAATAACACGTGCATGCGAGTAGGTGCAACTTGGGAAACACCTGGACCGTAGTCCCACACATTGACATGGAATATTTTGATAATGCGGGCGTACCAATAGGGGTGTCGGTCCTCATCGCTCTCATGTGACAACATCATGATGTCAGCATGAGTTCGTGGATTCATTGAATCTTGCTCTCGGCGAAGGTCGTAGGTTGTATAGTTGATGCGCAGGATACTGTGTTCGTAGAGTTGATTGTTAGCAAGAATGACCTGGCTTCTGTCCTCATTGGAGAATTCATCTTCATCCCCAGAGTACTCAAGACCGCACAATCTTGCTAATAGATGGTTCTTCAATCTTGGAATGAAGTCCTATGACGTCATGTCCACTATCAACAGATGTAAAAATACAATGAACTACTTACCTTAACTGCTGGGTCTTCCATCAGGTCGCCAAGCCATGCAGTCATATCATATGATGCTTTAGGATATTTCGAAATGTGATAGTGTGCGGCAGGTGATGTCCGTTCGCGTGGTATGCTGGGTGCCTTGAGTAACTCGCGTCGTTGGTTAATCCGTGCAATGACCCGTTTGTGGGCTTCAAGGTGGGTCATTGTAGTGACCATGGTCATCTTATTCTTGGCTGTCCTAGGATACCAGCGCTTGGCTCGCCGGTGTTCGAGTTCTCCCTGAAAATAGGATGTCAGATAGTCAACAGTTTGATTTGAGATAAACTTACCGGCTGTGTTGAAAAACTGTCTGTAGTACCAAAACGTCGAATTGTGTTAGGATAATGTCCGAGAGCATGGAATTTATAAGTTGACAAATTGAGGGCCTTGAACTTGGGACCGGACTTCTGCTTCCCTTTACCTGAAGATGAAGGTTGTTTGGCTGCTAATGCAGCCTCTCGACGTCCTCATGCTGCATACTCATGAGGGAGTTCTGTTGTATGGTAGTAGCTACACGTAGTCTTGAAGAATTTTTGGACAGATTGGCCTAAGACCGTGGTTGCAGTATCAAATAATGCGAGTGTGTCTTCTGTGTGCATTCGAAGTTTGGCGTATGCGTGCCAAACAGAGAGGTCGAATAGAAGGTCGAGCACAATCTTATTATGGTCGTCTGGCAATAGCTTCTCGAAGACAGGAATAGCGCACTGGAGAAGTTAAAAATAAATAAACAACGATCATTAAAGTTGACTTACTTGTAATAGGTCCTCAAAGTCATGGGCTGCGAGTTTTTTCATGGCAGAGGCATTGTTGTGGAAGCGATGAATAGTTCCCCTGCCAAATGTGGGTACTTTTCGGTATCTAATGTAAAACACTGTGAGCTTGTAAGACCAATGACGTGCCCAAAAATACTACTGTTTGTTGAGATCTGGAATAGTGTTCCCTCCAGCTGCATGGAGTATCCGCATCAAATGAGTGAATTTGGCCTTCCATGCGCCGAGCTCAAACTCATGAAGCTGATCGACGAGAAACATATCAAACATGTTCAATCCGTATTCTGCAAGTCTCTCAGAAAATGCAGACTGAACCCATGTATTAGTGAAAGAAACATAGAATATGTAGAGTTGCTTACATGAATTGGAACATACGAAGCTTCATCGAGAATTGCTTTGACACGGCTCCCATTCACAGGGACTCCAAGTCGAAAAATTAAAACACGGGCTTCTTCAACACTGCGCCATCGTCGGAAGTCATCAATGCGTCTGTTAGTCACACGATGCTTCATGTCGAGTTTCATGCCCATCTTGTAGACATCTGCCTTCTTGACCAGGCAGCGTGGACAGAGGCACCCTCCGAGAAACTTTATAGTAGCAAGTAGAACTCTGCGCAGTGCAAAACATGTTAATGCCTCATGTCCGATCACATGTAAAATGACACGTGTACTTACTTCTCAGGATAGTCCGCCG